CAGATGCAAATGTCCCCATTTGTCTTAAGAGGCGTGACAATGGGGGTCTCCCAAGGACTGGAGTCGACAGGTCTAAAACTCCTTGCTGAATCAATTTGTCCAATTCGGTGTCAATTTTACCTTTCAAAGCAAAAGGGACCCTTCTTGCTTTAATTCTAATAGGGGTGACAGTGTGGTCTAACTTCAGTGACACAGGGGGTCCTTTGTACGTGCCCAGCTGTGGGCTGAAAACATCTGCAAATTCTTTGCAGACTTCTTGTAGGTCTACTGTTTGCAAGCTATTGAGCCCTGTGACGTGTATTCCCAAGGCCTCAAACCAATCGAGTCCTATGAGACTCGTTCGCTCACCCCCTACTACTATTACATCTAGTGGACCTTCAAAATCCTTATACTGTACGTTAAGGGTGACCTCCCCCTTAACACACACTCTGGAGTTTTGAAAGTCTGTTAACACAATGTCGGAAGGCCTCAGCTTGGCCTGAAATCCGCTGCCAGAACAAATCTTCCTAAATGTGTGCATGGAAATGATTGAAAGTGCAGACCCCGTATCCAGTTCCATAGCCAATGGAACCCCTTGTAGCTTCACTTTAAGTGACAGCTTTTTCTTAATGGGTTTGTGTGTGCCTGTCCTATAAATGCTTCTTCGCGAAGCACAGAAACCCACCCTGTTTTGGCTGGGGACCCTGGTACCTTTCAGGCGCAATTCTTCCCGAGGTTGTACCTTCTGACACACAGCTGCAATGTGTCCCTGTTTTCCGCATGCCCTACAGATAGCGGAGCGGTCCTCTTGTGGCGACCTCCACAACCGAGGCACTTAGGGAGAGCTGAAGAGCTTTCCTTCTGTTTCCCTTCTTTTGTGGGGTAGAGACAGTCTACTTCATCATCAGGATCCTCCTCTGGGTTCCTTTGGACTCCTTCCTGGTGCACGGACACAGCTTCTGGAATGCTTCTGATCGGCCTCATGTTCTTGATGGCATCTTTCCGGATGCGAGACGTCGAATTCTGAAAGTCTTCCAACTTTTGCCATTTTGTAGAAAAGGAAGGGTCTATCAGCCAGCCTACCCCCGATGCTCGCTGGATTGGCGGGCAGCTGCTGAGTCAACGCCATTCCTACTGCTCAGGACTCTAGGGTAAGCTTACACCTGTCTTCAGTCGATGTAAGGCAATCCCATCCTCATCGCCAGTGTTAAGTCCTTCGCAAAATGGCAATGACACGAGAAGCAGTTGTAGTTCTCAGGAACCTCTTTATTTCTGTTCAGCATACTGGTTACAAGACGCCGACAATGCCCAAATCTCCCTGCCCTTTTTATAGGTGATTCCCGGACCAAAATGCAACATTTGGCGCGCCTGCACTCGCGCATGCGCACGAGTGCTGGCGACAGCCAGTCTGGTTCTGGGCAGCTTGCACCTGCCCGGAACCGTTGCAATGCCCCGAGCCTGCTTTCACAGGCTCAGGACATAACACAAACCATTTTGCAGAGCTCAGTGGCCCAGGAGTCGGCAAGCACGCGCACACGCTTTCTCTTTCCTCTCTCTCTCACACACATATACACACAGCGTCAGGAGAAGAGGGGGGGTCGGTGGAGAGGATTCCCTCACCGCGCACAGCCAGCTTGCTATTGATCGCCCCCTTTCTAGTTATTTTTGCTCATTTGGGAGAGCCCAGTCCTTCCTATGAAAGCAAGCAAGAGAACCCAACACACAACTCTTCATTGCCTTCCTCAAGGGCCTAAATTTTAGTGTCTCGGTTCCTAAGACCATCGGAAATATGTGTTTTCCAATGGTCTTAGGCAATCCCTGTAAAAGGGTCATTCGACCCCCAAAGAGGTTACGACCCACAGGTTGAGAACGGCTGTTCTAGGAAAAATTATGAGTGGGGTTTGCTTGTTTGTTGTAAACAACCCCAGCAGTGGCTTATGGTCTGTAAAGACCGTGAACTGGCAACCATACAAAAAGTCATAGAACTTTTTTATGCCAGCCATTATGGCCAAGGCTTCTCTGTCTATCTGTGCGTAATTATACTCAGCAGATGACAGAGTCCTTGTGGACTTGTGCCTCATTAGCCTTGAGGTGACTTAAAATAGCCCCGATCCCATAAGAGGATGCATCGCAGGCTATACACATTGGCAGCTGCTCATTGAAATGAGCGAGAACAGCATTTGAAGACAACAATGCCTTGACCTCAGCAAAACTCCTTATGTGGACTTGTGTCCACTTCCATGGAGTCGGTTTGTCCAAGAGCCGGTGTAATGGCTCTGCCACTGCAGCCTTGTGGGGGAGGAAGGAATGATAGAAATTTAGAAGCCTAAGGAAGGCTTGAAGCTCACTCTTCGACTTGGGGCCTGCTGAATTGCTTTGAGCTTAGTTTCAGTAGGATGGATGCCTTCTGCATCTATGTGAAACCCCAGGAATTCAGTGGATGTTACTCCAATTTTGCATTTCTCCTGCTTAAGCTTCAGCCCAGCTTCACGGAAACACAGCAAAATGGACCGAAGCCTTTCAGACAGGTTTTTGAGTTATTCCCCTGCGATGAGGACATCATCAAAATATGGGCAAGCTCCCAGAATGTTACGGAGTGTTTGCTCCATGATGCTTTGGAAAATCCCAGGAGCTACGTTAACCCCGAACTGCAGTCTTCTGACTTTGAAAGCTCCCCAGTGCATTACGATCGTCTGGGCCTCTGCCATTGCCTCATCAACTGGTAGCTGTTGATAGGCCTGAGCCAAGTCAAGTTTGGTGAAAACTCGGCCTCCTTTAAGCAAAGCCAAAATGTGGCTCACCACAGGCACTGGATAAGAGTGCTGCTGTAACGCTTTGCTTAGCATGCATTTATAGTCAGCACAAATGTGGACTTCCCTATTGGCCTTAAGTGGCATGACAGGCCCGGCAAATAGCAGAGCGGGAATGGCAATCCACATCTGAAACACAGGGAATTGAACTGCCTTGTCAGCCCCCTTGTCAGCTCACTCTTGGGGCCTTCTCTCTGCTGGCTGCTGCAGACAGTTGACCTCATTTTCTGAATCCAGTTTGGATACCACTCAAGCAACCTCTTGATGGACTGACCCCAAACTTGTAGGGTTCTTGGAGAGCTGCAAAGCCTTAACAGCTCCTCCCGCTGCTTTGTTGGCCGTAATCTCCCTTAGTGCATCCTAGAAGGAAACGTCTTCCTTTGCAAAAATCTTTTGCTGCAGCTCACAGCTCCTCAAACCACAAACTAGCCGATCTCGAAGCCGTTCCTCTAGGTCTTTGAACTCACAGGGCCTTGCAGCTTTTCGCAAAGCAGCAATAAAGTCCACAGCAGACTCTCCTGGACGTTGGTCCCGCTGTTCAAATGCGTGACCCCATGCAATCACTGATAGCTTCAGTTCAAAATGTTCCCTTAACATTTTCTTCAGTTCAGTATAAGCGATGGATTCCAGAGGTGCTGGGGCAACCAGATTTTCGGCAATATCAAATGTCTCTTGCCCACAGACACACAGTAACGTTGCTGCTTTGAGCCCATCCTCCTGAACTTGGTTTACCCGAAAGTAGTTTTCTACTCTGGCCATATATGAGCTCCAACGTTCAGGATGTGCTGTATCGAATTCGGACAGACGGCCAATCTTAGCCATCGTTACTTCTTGGCGGCCTTGTCAACACTTCATGCTGCTCATGCTTGTGAAGGGGTTCCAGGACAAATCTTGCCGAGCTCTCCTCCAACGTCTTCGTACTGGTAGGCAAAGTCACACAAGTCGGAACGCTGAACTTCCAAGCACTTCAGGCCTTCCGTGCTGAGTCAGCCTATTATTTTGTTGTTTTCTTGCAGCATGATCCCACCTTTGTCGCCAATGTTCTGTTCTGTGCATTGGTAAGGCATTGAGACAAGGCAGGAGTAACAACAGTTGCTTCTTTATTCAATCTTCAACAGAACAACACAAAATGGCACAGATCCCTTTTATACCCCCTTGCAGGGAACAGAATCAACCAATAAATGCAATGTATTTTTTCTGCCTTGCGCATGCGCAATAGGCTGTAGACAACCTGTCTGGCCTGGGCAGCCTCATGGTCTGCCCGGGACTCTCTGCAGCTTTCTGCACCTGCTGTGTCAATGACATCCCAGTACATAACAGAAGGTATGGGTTATTTTTAACTGAAGAAGACTGCTGGGAGTCATGCTAGAGGTCTTTAATATTTGAACATTGTCAAGTGGATGATGCAGCAGAATCATTCAAAATTACTCCAGGACACAAGAAACAATGAGTTTAAGTTATGAGAATTCAGTCTGACATCAGAAGAATTTCCTGTGGGGAAGAGTTGCTCAACAGTGAAGTCAACGGCCTTGGGAGAAGGTCTTCCCTTAAAGGTGTTTAAAAGAAGATGGATGCTAGATCAGTGTACTCCTGCAGGGGGAAGGGATTGGACTTTAAGAACCCTTCCAACTCTTATTTTTAAGGTCTGTAATTCAAGAGTAGAAATGTGGGAAGCAATCTTACAAACAAAGAGTAGGCAGAATAAAAGACAAAGAACAGGCATCAAAGGAATTCCTAGTCATCTACAGCCTTTGTGCTGAACAGTGATGAGATGTTGAGAGATGGGGGACTTGGACTCAGATCTTCAGCCTCTGGTCCCCTTCTGGTGAATCCAGAAGGAGCTGGAAATAGGAAAGTTAAAAAGGATAAGGAAAATGTGATATTACCTGTCAACTCTAAACCTGACTCTTGACTTTGGTGGCACTCCGTCTGTCCCAGTGCAACTGAGATGGTGCCCTTTGAAGTGGAGAATTCCAGCAAGGGGATGTTGGGGAGATCCAGCAGCCACTGCAGGCCATGACTGCAGAAGAGCTCTCTCTGAAGCCTCTTCTTCCCACCATGCTTCATCACAGAGTCTATGGACAGCCTAAACCCAGCGGACAGATGCACAATTTCATCCTTTGTTCCTGAAATCATTACAGTGAATGACTAATCAAGTAATTTGGAGTTGCACCAAGAAATGAAATAAAGAGTGCAAAGTCCAAGGCTACTCTCTGTTAGAGACAAGATCCAGAAGAGCTCCACGCAGAGATGGCACTGATCTTCTGGGATGTGGTGAGTACAAGCCAGACAAGGCTTCCTGGCATCCCACCCAAAGGGGCTGCTATAGGCACAGCACCAGCTACTTTCAGGTCACCCAGACCCACCTGGAGCACATGCTGCACGGGCATCTTCCCTGACCTTCCATCCATGCAAGACTCAGCACACCAGTTTTGAGGGATTCTGCCCAGGCACGAAATTGGGCTAAATCAGAGCTCCTCAAAGTGGTCAATATTGACCCCATGGGGATCACTGGTAGTAGTGGTAGTAGTAGTAGTAGTAGTAGTAGTAGTAGTAGTAGTAGTAACTTTTGAAAATCAGAGTAGAGCTGGAAGGGACTTTGGAGGTCTTCTAGTCCAACACCCTGCTCAAACAGGAGACCCTGTACTATTTCAGACAAAGGGCTGTCCAATCTTTTCTTAAAAGCCTCCAGGGATGGAGTGCCCACAATTTCTGAAGGCAAGACGTTCCACTGGTTAATTGTCCTCACTGTTAGGAAGTTTCTCCTTAATTCCAGGTTGCTTCTCTCCTTGATTAGTTTCCATCCATGGTTTCTTGTCCTGCGTTTAGGGGCTTTGGAGAATAGGTTGGGGAGCCCTGGGCTAGATGATTTTCAAAGTGCCTCCTAGCACCAAGATTCTGACTTTGTCCTTCAAAAGTTCCATTTGCCCCAATTTGCTTAGGCTGGGTTTATACCACAAAATGGATGCCATGAGCCACTGCAGGTTGTAAAATAGGCACTTTACCGCCTCAAAACTTGCGCTCCCTTGTCAGAGGACCAAATCTTCTTCTGGAAGCCAGACCTTTCACAGTGGAGCTCCAATCTCAGGAGGCCTGTCCTTCCGCCATGGCCCCCTTCCCCAGCTAGAAAAGCTCTTTTTGTAGGTTCCAGATCAATTGTCACTCATAGCAATCCTGAGAGTAGTTTCCTTTCCCCCCATTTCTTCTGAGATGCAAGCCCACGGGGTTGCATCTCAGGGAAGGAGGCAGTGAGCACTGTTGGCCTGAGGAGGAACTTCCAGATTGTTCTCAATGGGAGAGTGTGGAAAGGTGAAATTTGTTTTCAAACGGTGTTATGCCTCTTCTAAGCTCAAGGTGATGGTTTTATAGGGACAAGTCAAGGGAAATTAACACAAAGTGAGAGGAAATACTATTTTTAATTAAAAGGTTTAAAGCTACATAACTGCATGGCATTTCAAGATTTGGGCAAGGGAAGAGGGCTGAATGCAGACAGTCTAAACTGAGGGGTGCCCAAGGGCAGCCAGCACTATGGGATGAAGATGCAAACAGCTCCCCCCTTCTGTCCATTGCCCCTCACCCCCTGACCTCTGGCCTGACCAAAGCACCAATGCATTCAGCTTATGCCTTGCCTTGCCTTTAACTCCCACTTAGATGCTGGACCTTCCTTTGGGGAGATTTTAAGAGCTGTCAGGTGCAGCTCTAAGGGGGGGGGGGTTGTTGCTATAGACCTGTCATCTATGGTTGCTTCTTATGCCTTCGTGTGATATTTTATTTCTATATATTTATCAAATTTATATGCTGCCCATCTAGCTGGTAAACAAATAAAATAAAAACAATCCAATCCACGGAGCCATTAAAAAACCAGGCCACATATCACCCCCAGCCAGAGCCCCAGTAACCCAACATTTGGCCCCCCCGCCTGGTGAAAGAGAAGGTCTTCACCACCTTCCGAAAGGCCAGGAGAGGTGGGTTACCTGCCCCCAAGCAGGGCCTTTTTGTAGATAGGCACCATGACTTCAGCCAGTTCCTGCACTCCCAAGCAATGAGGTGGGGGTTGTATGCAGAGCAGGGCCAGTTACTGACACACACACACACACCCCCCCAACGTTTTGGAAGAGAAAATGCACTGAAGACATGATTGCTTTGGGAAATAATGTTCAGTTCTCTTCAGATGGGTTTGAAAGGAATTGCTTACACTGGCTGGTTTTCTCTACCCAGCATGACTCATTCTTATTTTCCTTTGTTGGCATTCAATAAAAAAGATAGGAATACAAACAAGATTTTTGGTTTAGGAAAAAAAAGTGTTATGTCTGTGAGGAATAAAAATTCAACTCCAAGGATGTTGGAAAACAAAACAAGTTTTATTAAAGCTTTTGCAAAAGCGGTGGAACTCTTAGTAATGGCAAATCCACTCCGGAATCAATTGTTGCATAGGTTTTTATACCTTGTCCCGTGCATCACGCCACATCCTTCCAAAGTGAGCCCAGTTGATAGGCCACCCAGTCACATGCTTTCCGCCTAGTAACCATTACCATTACCAAACCCTCCAATTATTAGATCAAATGCCACTTTTGTTCCTGTCTTATCTTCATTCCCTTTTCTGTGACATGATTTGTAATATCCTGCTAACTCAGGATATAGCCTTATCTATAAGATGAATTGCCACCGTACTGAATAATTGCAATTATAAAGGATTTATGTTTTCCCTTGTTTTTCTATAAGAATGTCTTCTTTCCATCTGGAAGCAATATGTGTAACACAGTTCATGCTTCAGTTAAACATGGCTGCACTTTGGTTCATAGTTATACTTTAAAATACTAACTCTAGGCAGTTTTTATAAAGAATAAGCCTTATATAAATTGAATAATAATTTATTTATAAGCTATGTACTATTCTACGATAGTGTGCCCTATTCTAAAAATATAGTTCCTCTCTATTCTTTCAGCCTACTACATCTCCTTTCCTAAAAATATTTTAGCTAAGTGCCTCCACATGCCTATTTATTTAGCAGAAATGGAAAATTACAACATGTACATTTCTTATGTACCTCACATTTCTCTTCCTTCAAGATTCAATATCAGAGACTCCTTTTAATGGTGATTATTCTGGGAATTGGAGGATCACTGCAGGTTGGCTTCCAAGGATCGATGATCACCTATGCATCTGTGGTAAGCAGTTGTTGTACCCAACACAGGTCCTAGCCTGGCACCAAAGCCAATAAAGACCACCAGTCATGAGGAATGGCATTTTCAGCTTCTTTTATTGGAGAACTCCGGCAAAAGGGTCTCAGCAGCTAAAGAAGTCAAGTCCTCGAACAATGCGCAAGCACAAATGCTATACAGTTGTGATTAAGGAAGTTAACACCTTAAGAATCACACATTGGTTCCTTCACATTTCTTTTGATTAGATTCTTCTACTTTACTTCCTTCTTCATACATCCTTGTCAAAAGAGGTGTGTCTTTTACTATTATAATAAGCTAGAGGTTACCAAAGTTTATATATCTATGTTCCTTAGCTAGCATCCTTCTAGCGTGTCAAACTGCCGGCCCGCAGGCTGGATGCATCATAGCGAAACCACACCTACCCCATTGCCATCAATGGCAAAAAAGTCATGATACATCACATGACATTGCTGGTTTGACAGCCCAGTTTTAACCTGTAACTTTCTTGTTGCTAGGCAGCAGTGTCCCACCATTTGTTACACTCATCGCAGCTGCAACTTTCTGTGTCAGCAATTCCTTTAACAAACTTTCCTAATTCCAACTTGAGTCTTTCATTTCTCCCCTTTGATTCTTTTTAAAGCTTTGAAAAGAATCATCCAATAGTCTGGTCTTTGGGATCAACTCGTTGGAACAACTAATAATTGTGGGTAAGCATTGCAAGTAAGCACAGCAAATAAACCCCATCATAACAATTAACACAAGAATCATAAAAATATTTCTGAGCCATGCAAAGTTGGGTAGCCAGCTGGCAAGTCACCAGTCCTCTTCCTCCTTGACTGAACATTCATATTCTAACCATTCTTGCCTTGTGTGCTCTGATCAAGTGGGGTCTCCCTACAAAAAGGGGGAACCAGGAAAATGGCATACATTTGCTTTTAAAGCCCAGAAAAGAACTTCAGAGCAGAAATTGAGTGGTTTAGAAATAGTCATCTGTCCATTTACATCACAGAATTAAAGCAGCCAATAATGTGTGAGCGTAGCCATAGAAAAGAGCATTGTTTGCAAAAGAAAAACATCTCAGCACATCCCAAGGTTGGCTTGACTATTTTGTGTTCATGGAGGGTTGAGAACAGCTAAAAATGAAACTGTTATCACAATATATAAAATGCTCTCCTGCCAGTTCTGGTTTCTTAAAGAGAGTGTAAGGACCCACTTCAACCCCACATCTTAAGAAAGCAGAACTCTTGGAAACAATTTCTTCCAACAGGAACTTTTATTAAGAGTAGCTGATAGCAGGTATAATAGACAGGATCTGAGGAATTCTTTACAGATCGATACTTTAAAGGGTTCCTAAGCAAACCTCACCCCACAGTTCATCCAGACGGTTCAGACCGGCCAATCCCCAGTTGTTAAGTCCATCGTGGGAAAGGGAAGATAACATCAGTCCAACTCCGTTTGTAGTACAATGTTCCACAGCTCTTCACACCTCCTTTTGAGACCGGAGAAATAAGCCAGGTTCCAGATGTTTGTATTTCTCCCCCCTCCTTTTTTTTTCCTAACTGCCAGGTTAGAGAGAAGAAGCTTCAGAGAGATGCATAGTGCAGGAGGCAATTTGTTATATTGTAATCGGCAGCAGACCCAGCAGCAATAAACAAAAGGTTACACTGGAGTGAATAGAGGAGGTGAAAGTCATAACCCTGCAAGCATATCCCCCCTCCCCCTTGGGAGTATGGCAGAATCCAGGGAAAGGTGAGATTTGGTTTTAGATCAGAGGAGATAGAAATGAAATATAACAGAGAGGCTTTTTTGTAGGTTAAAGTATATGGCAGCTTATTAACATAACATTTTAAAAAAAGCTCTCATTTCCTCTTTGAGGCTAAAATAAGCCCTTTCAGCAGCCAAAAAAGAAAATGTCGGTAAACATTTCCTTTAAAAAAACAACCTCTGAATGAATTAGGATGAACCATGACCAAATGGAAAATTTTACATTTTGCAAAATTAATAAAAAAAAACAATGTAGAAAACAGCTTTCAAAAATTGCAATGTACAGGGTAGGCACTGTGAGCACCAATAAACAAATAAAAATCCTTAATGTAATAATCAAAATAAAGAGACCTATAAATGATTTCAACCACATCAGTTTAGGGAACCAGGAAGTCAATCACAAGTAGAGCAAAACTCACTTAACAATCATTTTGCCCAACAACAGAAACCTCTGGCCCAATTGTGGTCGCAAGCCGAGGTCTGCCTGTAATAGCATTCTATATGTAAAAAAAATGAATTAGCATTTGCAACAGAATAAAAAATGACAAATTGATTTAGAATAGCCTGAGCATCTGCAAGAACTTGGCTTTTGGGATATAAGACCACAAACTCCTCTTTAACTTGCTGATAAAAAAATCTAGAGCCATGCAGTTTTGAATAGCAAGTTGAGACATAGAGAGCTTCAGTTGTATAATCTGCCAATGACATCTACTATAACATTTGCATAAATTTCAAGCGATGCTGAAATATTAAGAAAAGAGCAAATTCTAATTCAGCAACTTCCATTTAACAAGAGAGCTGAGTGTAGTTCAAAATACTCCTGAAAAAGTATTTTTTTCAGGTGTAAAAGTATTTGCACCTGGAAAAAGTTCAGGTTTCATTCTGAAGCTAAATTGATGAATGTATAGCAATAGGTGTACGTAAAACTCTCAAGGTACAAATACCAGACCATGTGGAGGGCAAAACTGTATATGCCACAGTCCCATGGATCCAATACCAACCATCCTTAGATATTATATAGGTTATAAGTCAACAGGAAATAAAAAAAAAAGATGTGCTAGGAAGTGTGTCAGCTGCAAATTTACAATAAGCTTGGAGGACATAGTGGTAAGGAAAATTATTCCTCCAACTCAAATTGTGATTATGTTATCTAAAAAGTCCAGTCAAGATCCATGAAAGGCAGAGGTGATGCTCCTTGCAGCAGTGTAGGACCAATTTTATAGCAGGGTACAATTTCTCATATAAAATATGGAAAAACTTTGAAAAGATTGAACATGTCACAATGTGAGAATAACTTGAAGACATGGGGCTATGTGCCATAATCTTGAGGGATCATGTATATATTGTTACATAAGTGTTGTATATTCCTGCAGCACTGTAATTTTATATTTGTCATATAGTTATTGAATGTTTAAAAATTCTTAGAGAACTTCTCAGGGAGTAATGCAGAAATAAGAGCTAATGGGTTCTGTCCCAATTCTGTGCAAAATCAAGTACAAACTTTCACCCAGTAGAGGCATTTTAGCACCGATGCATTGTCCCTTATAATGCAGATAAGAATATGTTCTAGATAGAAAATAGGCGCAAGAAATTGGTACACCATGACAAGAATTAGGGCAGTAACATATAAACATTTGTATTAAGGTTAATCTGGAACCACTAAAGGCCCCAAAACAAATACTCTGAGTCCAAATATATATATAACACATGTGGAAAAAATGATTCTAATAAGACAATGATGTCAGATGCAAATTCATTAACAGGACTTTAGGTGGCTTCAAGTGTCAGTCCCAGGTTCTCTCAAATAGCAAGTTCAGAGAGAAAGTCCTCCATAATGCACAATATCCTGAAAAGTAAAAGTAAACAGAAACAGCTAGAATCCTTCCAGAGTGTCCTTCCAACTTGTAACTTTCTTGTGGCTAGCCAGGGGTGTCCCACCATTGGTTCCATTCATCATAGCTGCAACTTTCTGTGCCAGCAATTCCTTTAACAAACTTTCCTAATTCCAGCCTGAGTCCTTCACAGTCCAACCTCACAGGCAGGATCTGCATGGAGCCTTGGTCCCAGTTCTGCAGAGGCATGAAAGAAAGATACTCCTTGGGGTTCGGCATCTTTGGCAAAAGAGGAGAGGATGGTGAGGGCATCCTCTGGCAGTTCTGTAGGACGGAGTGGCAGGAACAGTGGCCGTCTAGAAGGACATTTCCGTGGTGCTTTCTGAGCTGGGTTGTTTTCTTGCAGACGTTTCATTACCCAAACTAGGTGTCATCATCATGAAATGTCTACAAGGAAGCAACCCAGCTCAGAGAGCGCCCCTCATTTCAACCCTGAGTTGCATATATTCTCCTTTATTGGGGCATCCTCTGCTGCAAGGGATGTATTCCACACAATCACAAGTGCTGCAGGGTGCTCTGCAGGGCCAGTCAACTAAAGGACATCTTTGAGGCCCCCAAAATCCAGTCCTACCTTCCTATTTACACTTTTTATATTAAAAAGGGGATTAAAAGAATTGGGAAGGCATCATATCAGTCTCTACGTTTGGCTTTGAGTTTGCTGGTTTTGGTTTTGGTTTCTTCTGCTTCACACAGCTGGGAGTGGCAGGCCTCTGGGAGGCAGCCATCTGCAAGTTCCAGCCTCAAGAAAACCCCAAGCCCCCCACCAGGTTTCCCCCCAAGACTTTAAGGGTTTCTTTGGAAATGTCCCTTTAAGGTTCCCCCTTCCCATCTTTAAATATTCCGCAGCCCCCAAAGAAAATTGTGATTCTCTCGCAGGCAACACCACAGCCCTTCCAGCACTTGGAACAGCCGTGCCCAACCTTCTGAGAGGCCTCCACCTCCCTTGCAATGGGATGTACACAATGGCCCCAGGAAAGGCTTTTTAGAGGCCTTCTACAGCCAGATCATCGATAGTTCTCGACTTACACCGGTTCGTTTAGTTATGGTTCAAAGTTACAGCAGCACTGAGAAAAAAGTGACTTGTGACTGGTGTAGCACTACCCCCAAAAGGGCCACTGGAGTCTGGGTTCTCCTGGCCCTCTTGGTATGGCTGCCGGTCCACAGTGGTTCCTCACTTAGGCACATCTGCTTGGTTGGAACATGTGATGAGGTGGTGGTCAGTCTCTCTTAGCAGGCAGGTCACATGCAGGGAAAGTATTCAGGTAGCTGGTCAGCTCTTCTTCTTCTTCTTCTTCTTCTTCTTCTTCTTCTTCTTCTTCTTCTTCTTCTTCTTCTTCTTCTTCTTCTTCTTCTCTCTCTCTCTCTCTCTCTCTCTCTCTCTCTCTCTCTCTCTCTCTCTCTCTCTCTCTCTCTCTCTCTCTCTCTCTCTGTCTCTCTGTGTGTGTGTGTCTCTCTCTCTCTCTCCCTCCCCCTCAGGCTTGCCCCATAGAAACCTCTCCTCTCCTATCCTCTCCCTCAGGCTTACCTCATAAAAGCCTCTCCCATTCCTCCCCATTGCCTCCTCTCCCAGGCTTATCCCCCCAACCTGGGCCTCAGCAGAGCCTTCCATCCCTCTCTGCCCTCTCCTGATTCCTTCCCAGACATCTCCCAGTACTCCTTCTTCAGCTCACCCTACCTCTGCTACACCGGTTTTCACACTTACGACCGTTGCTGCGTCCCCATGGTCTCATGATCAAAATTCATGAACTCAGCAACTGGCAAGTACGGTGTTTCCCCGAAAATAAGACCCGGTCTTATTTATTTCTTTGCCTCCAAAAGAGGCACCAGATCTTATTTTCAGAGGTGTCTTTTTCACTCACCTCCGGCACCGACATCCCCGCCCAGCTGTCCCCCTTCTTCTGCGGCCACAGGAACAGTTTCATTCTGCAGCTGAGAATGAGCTCCGGACTGCATTTCACAGTCACAGGCCTTTCCAGAAGGCCTCTGCAGCCAAGAACTGAGCTATGGATTGAATCCAGAAAGGCCTCTGACTGCGAAATGCAGGCCGGGGAGTGCCGCAGAAAAAGTGAGCCACCAAGGAGAGGCCTGGCTGCAAGATCCACTTCCACCACCATACCACCACCATCTTAGCTTGATCTTTAGGTGCGCACCTCATCCCAAAACTAGGGCTTATTTTGGGGGTAGGTCTTACTTTCAGGGAAACACAGTATTTATGACAGTTGCACTGACCCAAGGTCACAAGACCATCATCTGTAACCTTCCCAGCTGGCTTCCGACAAGCAAAGTCAACGGGGGAAGCCAGATTTGCTTAATGACCACATAATTCATTTAACAACTGCAGTGATTCGCTTAACAACTGTGGCAAAAAAGTCATAGAATGGACAACACTTACTTAACTGCCTTGCTTAGCAACAGAAATTTTGGGCTCAATTGTAGTCGTAAGTTAGGGACTACTTGTATCATCCTTCCATTGAAATGAAAACAGCCAAGAAAGATGCTTGTCTGCTTCCAAAATCTGGCAGGTTCGCATTTACTGAGCCTGGTGGCCCAGCTGAATGGTGGCCATCATGATGTCATTACAGGCAATGCTTGCCTGGGCTGTGTCGCTGTGTCTTTCTTAGGTGTCTCCTGCAAGTTCCTTCTTGTGAACTGAGCGTTTTTACCATCCATGATGAGAAAACTATCTCTGCCTAACCACATCCCTCTTTTCCAGCACATCAAAGAGTTCATCAATGAGACGTGGTTGGAGAGGTTTGGCCATTCGGTCCGTCCTTCAACGCTCACCTTATTGTGGTCTTTGGTGGTATCCATCTTTGGCTTGGGGGGTCTCTTGGGCTCCTTGAGCAGTGGATTCCTGGCTGCCAAATATGGAAAGTAGGTCCTCATTGAATACTTGCTTCCATCAAGGCGGCCTTGAAAGCATTAAAGAGCCATGTGCCAATAGCCAAGCCCTTGAGAGCCTTTCAGCAGCCTTTTTGGTTGCCCTAGTAATAATTCTGACTGGTTGCTTGGCTGGTTGTTTAATTGTTATAGTTTATTATAAGCCTCTTTAAGTATGGAAGAGGATAAGGAGGAGGAGGAGGAGGAGCAGGAGGAGGAGGAGGAGCAGGAGGAGGAGGAGATATGTAGTTGAGAATCCCATGGGGGGCATGACCCAAAATCAGAGGGGGATCATAGCTTGATGCCATAGAATTAAGCAATAGGGATAAAGATCACTGGAAGTTTATCAGAGTTTTTGTATTAGCAAGAGCTGAATGCATTTTGGAAGTTGTGTAAGGCCATTTTTTTTAAAGTCAGTAAAGCCAAATCAGGTAAGTTATCAGAAATATACCTTCCTGACCAGATTGTGGTAGTTGTCAGGGATTTTTTTTTCCTGTCTTCCTATGAAGACAGTTCAAAGAATTGGATGGATTTAGCTACGAGGCAATGGAGAAGGCTATGCTTGCCCATATCTCAAAGTCAGAGACACAGAAGAAGAAGGTGATCAGGGCTGATTTCCTCTTCAACTGTAGGACCTGAATTTCAATGACAGGAAAGAGAAACCTTCCTGAAGGTTAGGAAGAAACTTCCTCCATGGAATGAAGGACCCAGAGAGGCAACTCTTAGTGAGGCCTTATTGGACATTCCCACCATTCTGTCCTTCTTCCCGGCTCCTTCCCTTGCTGTGATTTAGTGGCACCCTCAGAACAAACAGTCACTTCAGCCACCATGGAGGTCCAGACAACATCCTGATCTGGGGGAGGCTCGTGTTGTGCAAAACGGAAGTGCTGGGGAAGGAGAGGGGCCATTTTGACCCCCAAAGTCTCCAGAGTTATTTTAGTCTGAGAGGTTGTACAACCTGTAGAGAGGACAAATCTCCTCCAGTGGTTCAAAACAGGGTCCCTGTCTGCCTTAGGAGGCCCATCCCAACCAGGGTGATCCAGGTTGTTCCCTTGGCTAAACTTTCTAGTTCTCACCTCCCCCATCCCCACCCCACACCCTGCCTGAAGACAATAGGGTGAGACATGGCAGGATCTTCTTTTCTGAAGGAAGAGAAGGCTGCTGCTAGGCCTCCCATGAACAGGCTGCTCCCACTTTGAGCCAGAAACCTCCATCCTCTTCCAAGCATTGTGTACCTGAGCCATTCCTGCCTCTTTTTCATAAACAGGAAGAACTGCTTCTTGGGCAGCAACTTGCTGATGGTGGCCAGCGCGCTCCTCCTGGGCTTCAGCAAGATGGCCAGGTCTGTCGAGCTCATTCTGTTGGGACGTTTTCTGTGTGGCATCGGCACAGGTATGCACCCGCCTCTCCCAACTGCTGGCCAAGACCCAAGCGGCTGCCAGAACCTATCAGGACTGAGAGGGAGCACATTATGGTGAAAAGTGAAAAGCTGAGTCCCACCATGGTCAAGAGATGGTTGGGAGCCAGACAGAACAAGGAGCCCTACCCAGCCTACCCCACATCCTATGCAGCATGCGCAGAAAGTTGAGCCAGTTTCCAACAGTTCCCCATTTTGTGCTTCTCCTCTTTGTAGCCAAACTGCTCTTACTTAGTTTGGATGGCGCAGCAGACATTCACTACTTGTGATCCCAATAATTTTGTTCTCTGCCTTCAATTCAAGGTGTGTGCATTGTTCTTCATCCCCAGTACCTTGGGGAGGTTTCCCCCAAAAACCTCCGTGGATTTACCAGTGCCACCACTTCCATGTTTTGGTGTTTGGGAAAAGTCCTCGGTCAAATTATGGGACTAAGGTATAACCATGCTTTCTTCAATGCCCTGGTTTCATGTTACTTTTTCAGCATTAATGATTGTGGTCATGAAAGCACAAGATGACAATCAGAGATGCGTCTTATCTACAAGCCTTTGGAAACTACCTAGGTTTTCTGTCTGCTTTCCCAGGGAGCTTTTGGGAAGCAGGGCCCTCTGGCCAGTGCTGCTGGCCTTCAGTGGGGCTGCGGCCTTGGTCCCCTTGCTCACACTACCATTCTTCCCTGAGTCACCGCCTCACTTGCTGTTGCACAAAGGAGATGAAGAAGGATGCGTGAAAGGTAACAGACAACAACACTCCCTCCTTTCCACAAGAAACAGTAACATTAAAAAGGCTCTGAAAAGAAAAGAAAAGCAGTGGGAAACTGGAGTAAGTCTGAGGGGGGCTACCAAGATGGGGCTGAGTTTGAAAAGGAAGCCCAGCCTAGGGTAGCTGAAAGATCTACAGGTGCTTTGTCTACAGAGACTGGAGATGGGTGCAGACACCCAATGGTCAAATCAGTCTGCAATAAGGCTGCTCTCATTTGCTTTTGATCATGGTGGGAAGGCTGACCTTAGCATGCACAAGGAGACTTGGCTGCTTCACTCACAGCTCTGCCCAGACAGGTTTGGGGTACAGCATCAGCCAATAGGTGGGGGAGCAGCAATTTCCATCCGAGAGCCTCTGACTGTATTGTTTAGCCAAGGACTGGCCAGTCCCAATTACCATTGTTAAGTGAGGACCACCTATATATGGTTATATAGTTTTGCTTTTTATTGTTTTAAATTGCTGTATTGTTTGGATCCTTTCCTATTGCTTTCAATGGTTTGTGAGCTGCCCCGTCATATATTTGAGATGGGCAGCAATATAAATTTGATAAATCACTAATAAATGTCAGAGGATTTTTCCTATGGAGCAGACTCTTCCCTGGTACACCAGATGGGAAGGCCAGAACCAATTTAAACAACATGCAACAAGGTTCAGAACAGGCATCAGGAACAACTTCCTGACTGTGTGTTAGCCAGTGGAACAGACTGCCACAGGAAGGGGGTTATCCCCTTTCTCAAGGTCCTCAAACTGAGGCTAAGTAAAATGACTATTCAAACTGCCCAAGCAGCACCTGCATCAAAGTGATTCTAAGATCCTTTCCAACCTTGGGTCTCATTTGCTCTAAGACGGGTTGCCTTCAGAAGTTGTGGGTGCTCCATCACTGGAGTTTTTAAGAAGAGATTGGACAGCCATTTATCCAGAATGGTATGGGGTCTCCTGCTTGTGCACAGGGTTTATTTATTTATGAGACTTATATACCGCTTTAAGCGCAAGCATTCTCTAAGTGGTGTACACCAGTAAGCAATGTATGTATATATTTACATTGCCCCCAACAATCTGGGTCCTCATTTTACCTACCCCAGAAGGATGGAAGGCTGAGTCAACCTTGAGCCGGTGAGATTTGAACCGCTGACCTGCTGAACACAGTCAGCTAAAGTGGCCTGCAGTACTGCACTCTAACTGCTGCGCCACCTCGGCTCTTCTAGTTGGACTAGAAGAGCTCCAAGGTCTCTCCCAAATCTGTTTTTCTGTTTGAGACAGACAATCCTGGCCCTCTCCTTTTTCTACTTTTCCTTTTGTTCCTCTGTTAGCCAACTCGACATGTTCCCCACCTTTTTCATCCACAGAAGTAACAGCTGTAACGGCTGTTTTTGGTCTGCCACAAAGTGGAGTTGGTGTCACCAAGAAATGGGCCAGCCGATTCTGTTGCCAGGCAGGGAGCCAGATCGGCTGGGACTGAAGTGCCCACGTCCCTGCCACGCACTGTTTCTCATTCCCAGCAATGAAGACCTTTTGGGGGGAAGAGCCTCATCAGGCAGAGCTGGATGATCTGCAGAAAGAGCGAGCGGCCCTAAGCAGCACCCAAAGCAAGAGCTTCCTGGAGCTGGTCAAGGAGCCTTCCCTGCGCTGGCAGCTCTACATACTGTTTGTCCTGGCGGTGACAACACAGCTGAGTGGCATCCAGGCAGTTGAGTGAGGCCCTTGGTCCTTTGCTTCCAGGCAGGAGGGGGTGGAGGCTTTCCCTTGGAGATACAGAAGCAGGAAAACCCTACAATTTCCTGTGAAATATTTTTTCCTTGGGAGTTGAAGTGCCTCCCTTACTTGCAGAAATGGGGGGTTTCCAAGCCAGCACTGGCTCTTCCTTTTCTTCCTCCCTAAGCCTGGTTTGATGAATGCCCTATTCTGAACTGACCACCTTCCGCTGAAAGCCTCCCCTGCTCCTGTGCAGCCGTAGCATCTTCCTCCTGTACCATAGGAGTCCTCTGATGACTACCACAGTTTCTCCTCCTCCTCCTCCTCAGATTTACTCCTACACCTTTGAAGTGCTCCAGACTGCCGGGTTTCATCTTGACCAGATCCCCTACTTGGCCTTGGGAGTGAGCCTCTGTGAACTTCTTTCCACTATCCTTTGTGTGAGTGAACAGCTCTGCAAGGGAAGGAGTGAAATGCAGCAGGAACCAGCCAAGACAGTTGTTGCCCAAGAGAAAACACCCCTTCCTTCAAAAGGGAGAGAAGCCAGAACAGGCCGTGGGTAGACTGCCTGCATGGCTTTCTGGCCACAGCTTCAACCCTCTGCGAGCATTAGACATTAATAGCACATTCCTCCTGGTGGGTTTTGTGGTTAAGCAGCTGGCCTAGAAACCAGGAGACTGTGAGTTCTAGTCCAGCCTTAGACAACAAAGCCCACTGGGCCAGTCACTCTCAGCCCAACCCACCTCACAGGGTTGGGGTGGTGGTGAAAATAGAAGAACGAAAGAGCATTAGGTATGTTCATCTACTTTAGTTATTTATAAAAATGATAAACGTGAAATAACCATTTAATTATTAAATAAATAAGGTATGAGGTATACCTCACTTCCTGCTGGCCCTTGGAAGAAAGACAAAGTAAGTCAAGTGTGGTAGCTAGAAGGCTTCAGGAGTTTCTCAAGCACCAGCACTGCCTTCCGTGCTGGCTATGAGCAGACATCCATAGTCTTGTTCCCAGAGCATCCTGTTGGGATCTGTTATTGAAATTTAATAAGACTAGACAATAGAATAGAATAGAATAGAATAGAATAGAATAGAATAGAATAGAATAGAATTCTTTATGGACCAAGTGTGATTGGACACACAAGGAATTTGTCTCTGGTGCATAAATTCTCAGTGTTAGCCATGGGTCAAGCTGCAAGGGCATCTTCCAAATGCTCATTCCTCTCCCCAAATCCCACAGAGCTTCATCATCGAACGATTTGGAAGAAAGGTGCTACTCTGGGCAGGCTACGGTTTGATGGGCACCATGCTGGCTGGTATCACCTTAGCCCTCTCCCTGCAGGTGAGCAAATGCCCCATGAACTGCTCATCCAAACAAGGGATGCCAGCTGTTGATGCCTACTGGAGGAGGCCACTGCACTAGGTTACACTCCCCTGATCTAATAGCACCCTCTCTCTCTCTATCTCTCTATCTCTCTTTCTCTCTCTCTCTCTCTCTCACACACACATACACACACACACACACACACACACACACACACACACACACACACACACACTGTTGACTGGGTCCTCAGAGAGCTGAGCAAAGTCAGAAGAGAAAGTTTCTTCTGCTGACCAGACAAGGGCCCTATAGATTGGGAGGCCAAGAATGGGGGCCAGGAACCAGGATGTCTATTATTTTTAGGCTTTTGATAAAAAATCATCACCCACAAGGAACCTCTGACTCATGAATCATAGAGAGTTGTTGGCATCCATGTTTGATCATAGTGAGTTAATGAACTAAAATGCAGTTTTGTTTATTTCAGCCCTGGTTCTCCTGGATGCCTTACTGTTGCCTGTCTTTGATCTTCTGCTTTGTATTCGTCTTTGGAATGGGCCCAGGTAATTTCTTCAACACAGATTTATATGGATACCTAAAGTTACTTTTGGTTTAAATCTTTCAAAGTAGGGGGCAGAATAAAGTAGGGTGGGATGGGTGAGTGATGCAGCATTTCTGCAATCAGTCAGAAGGGCAAATAACTGTGGGGATGCTGCAGCTGCCACAACTCTGAAACCTGGTCATAAGTAACTTTGGGGAATATGTCGTAAGTTCCAGTCACAAACTGAAACTACCTGTACCTTGTCCAACTTTTGCTAAAGATGGGAAAACTGAGAAATTGTAGGATATGCAAATACTTTGGCACTTGACAAGAGGATTGTTGTATACAAAGGGTGTTTCTGACCACAGGTGAAAATGTATAAGTTTACAGTGTCATGATCTGGAACCCTGGCACGACATTCAGGAGCTGAAGCATTTGCTAGATCTGGGAATCCTCTTTAGCCACCATTCCAAAATCCTCCCAACTGCTCTTCTCCTTTCCTTAACCCTGGTTAATAAAAGTGATTAGTTCCCCTTCCCAGCCATAGTTAAGTTTGGGATGCTATTGTGTCTGGATCACGAAATCCCACTGGATGAGAAATCTCTGTAAGATTACTGGTAGAGTTGTGGTGATGGTAACAAACTCTCCTTGGCTTTCACCATAGCTGGTGCCACAATCTCTGTCAGGATGGAAATCTTTGATCAGTCGTCCAGAGCACCTGCCTTTGCGATCAGTGGGACCCTGAGCTGGGTTGGAGTCTTTGTGATCGGAATGGTGTTTCCATTGATGGTGGTAGGTGATTCTGGTCCACATGGATTTATTCCCTCCCCCTCCAATCTGCAGGAAAGTTGGGGGAATCAACTGCCAACATCTTGTGGCTGGCTGAAGCTGGATTGCTGAATGATGCAAAGCTGGCAATACAGTTAACCCAGGGCTTGATATTTAAAAACCAGTCAGGAATATGCATTGGGAATTTGCACAAGAGACAGCCTCTGTTCCACTAAGAAGTGCTTGCTTTGTTATCCTAAATAGTTGGGCATTTTTTTTCCACCTCCAGGAAAACTTCCGTCATTTCTCCTTTCTCATCTTCATGGGGAGCCTTTACACTTCAGGATTTATTATTTACTTCTTCCTGCCTGAGACAAAGAAAAAATCCATCCTAGAAATCCGAGAAGAGTTTGATAAACTTAATTTTAAGAAAAAACAAATTCCTATCTTAGAAGCCAAGATGACCAAATTATGTACCAAACTATGAATTATGTACCAAACTATGACAAAGTTGGACTCTCAAATCTCAGAGTCGCATGGTCCAACCTGCAGCTTTTGAAGGTCCCTTTAGATGACCCTCCAGAAGCAGGAATCACAATGCCCTCTCCATCCCTAAGAAGTCACCAAATTATGTTTCTTTTGTTATGACAGGATCCATAAAAAATAAAGATCCTTGTATTCTTGACAATATTGCTGTCAGAATCCAGTTATATTTCATTTCTATCTATCTTCTCTGATATAAAACCAATTTTTACTCTCTCCTGATACTGTCATACTACTAAGGGGGAGGGGGGTATACATGGGGTTTTTTATTACTTTCACTTCCTCTTTTCACTACAAAGTAACCTTTTGTTGATTCTCTTCCGGTCTGCTAACCATAACAATGTAGCAATTTGCCTTTCATCCTATGCTCCTTACCGGCCAGCGAGAGAAAGGGAGGGGAGATGCAGTATTTGGGATCTGTGTGAGGAGATGTTGAATGATCATGCCAACGGAGCCAGGTTAATGTTATCTCTCCTGTACTTAACACCTAGAAATCTGCCGGTTTGAATTACCTGGAAGAACTGTGGGGTGGGGGCTGCTTAGGAACACTTTAAAAATTGAATTGTATGGGAATCCCTCAGATCCTGTCTATCCTGCCTGCTATCAATTTCTTTTAACAAAAGTTCCTGTTGGAAGAAACTGTTTCCAAGAGCTCTGCTTTCCTAAGATGTGGACATTTTTATACACCACACAGGGGCCTAGATGGCTCTGGCAGCATTGTAGCATGTCTTTTAAGAAGAAGGAATAGAAGGCATCCCGAGTCCCTGCCACAGGATGCCAGGTTGACCTTCACTTCTACACACATCATCTGAATCTGGAAAGGTCCTGGAATTTCCCCTCTGGTACAGCACCAGAGGGCACCTCCATCATCACCGTCATCTAGATAGAGTGGTTTATAATCTTCTTGCCACAGGTGTATTTAGTCCCACTTTTAAGGAAATCCTAGAACTGGAATAGAATAGAATAGAATAGAATAGAATAGAATAGAATAGAATAGAATAGAATAGAATAGAATAGAATAGAATAGAGAGATAACCTGGTTGTCAAAGCAAGCAGAGTTTTAGGCTGCATGAAAAGAAGCCTGTTTCCAAATCACAACACACACACAAACAGAGAGAGACGCACAAAACCCCCCAAAAGTCATTCCACTTTATTGGTCTTGGACCATCCAGTAAATAAAAATGAAATGAAAATGTTTCACTTTGTTCTGTTTTGGGGAGATTCCCACCTAATCACTAGGTCTCATTCTGGGTTCCACAGTTTAGAAAGACTTTAGGAAAACTGGAAGAGGTTTGGGAGGAGGGGGGGAGTCAGAGGACAGAGAACAGGGGAGGAAGACAAAAGACGGCTTAACCCTGAGAAAATAAGGCAAGGGGGGAGGATGCTGATGTTACAGCAACTTCACTGTTTGATTGTGGTGAGCGGAACGGGACATTTAGGCTCCCACCACTGGAGAAGTGGTGTCAAAAATCCAATTATATTTCATCTCTAGTTATTGACTATGGAAAACCCCATTTCTGCCCTCTCTGGATTCTGTCATACTACGAAGGGGAAGGGGGATGAGCAAAGGGGTTTTATGGCTCTCACTTCCTTCATTACAATTTCAAAGGGAATGAATGTGGATATCACCAAAAGCACTAATTATAACAATATGGCCATCACTTTTCATGTACTCCTCTCTGAAGTCTCCCTTCCGCCGACTGTGAGGAAAAGGGGGTGGAAATGTAACGCCTGGGATTGTCGCTGGAATGACTGTGGGGTGGGGGGGCCGCTTGGGAACACTTAAAACCCTGAATTCAAAGTCTTGCCATTTGCATTACAAGGGAGCCCCACAGTATTTATGCAATTAATCAATGACATTCTAAGGGAGCACCTGTTTAAGGGGGTCCTGGTTTACTTAGATGACATTCTTATCTTCACCGAATCAAAAGAGGAACATGTCAACCTAGTCAGAGCGGTTTTAAAGAAACTGCGAGCCGCCCACCTATATGCCAAACTCTCGAAATGTGAATTCCATCAGGAAAGGATAGATTACCTAGGTTATCGCATATCCCGCCAGGGCATTGAAATGGACCCAGAGAAGGTCAGAGCAGTATTAGAATGGGCACCACCTTGCACAAGAAAACAACTGCAAAGTTTCCTGGGTTTCGCAAACTTTTACCACCAATTCATCCCCTCATTTGCCCAGATAGCCCTGCCCCTCACGAACTTACTAAAAACAAAGGGAGCATCCTCAGTAAAACCTAGCCAGCCACTAATATGGACAATGGAGTGCCAAGCAGTGTTTGAGAGATTAAAGAGACTTTTTTCTGCCGAACCAGTACTGAGGATAAGCCCTTCGTAATACAGGTGAATGCAAGTGATGTGGCAGTGGGGGCTGTACTATTACAAGAAAACAATGAAGGGGCATTGCAACCCTGTGCGTATACATCCAAGAAACTCACGGAAATGGAACAGCACTGGCCCGTGGGGGAGAAAGAGGCATACGGGATAGGTTGGTCATTACTCACGTGGCGCCAGTTCCTAGAAGGCAACAAAATCCCTTTCCAGGTGTGGACAGACCACAAAAATTTGGAAGCCCTGAAAACACCCAGGAAGCTCAACCCCAAGCAAGCCCGCTGGTCCCAGCATTTTTACCAATGCCACTTTACGCTGATGCATTTGCCGGGAGGATGCATGCCCCAATATAACAGCACGCGAGCCACTGACTCTAAACCGATGATGGTAGAATCACAACTGGCAGTGCCAGTAACCACCAGAGCCCAATTAAAACCACAGCTGGGCAGTCAAACCGGAATTGAATTCCGGAAAAGTTTGGAAACAGATGAATGGTGCCATGACACAAAACCAGCAAGGCATTTTGGATTTGTAAAAACATTACACTTAATTAAATAGCAATTTTGGTGGCCATCCATTAAAAAGGACATAGAAAGTTACGTGGCCAGCTGCCCAAAGTGTGCAACTGCCAAGAGGTTGCAAGGGAAATCGCCCGAACTGTTACAAACAGTGGTAAATCCCTCAGCCATGGATTTTATAGTGGAATTACCAGAAAGCAATGGGAATACTGTTCTCTGGACGATCAAGGACTTGTTTTCCAAACAAGTGCACTTTATCCCTTGCCAAAAGATTCCCATCGCAAAAGCCTTAGTGAAACTTTTCGTCCAGCATATTTACAGATTGTATGGGGCACCCCAACACATCATCTCTGATGTTGTTGTTGTTAATTGAGAAGTCGTGTCCGACCCATCGTGACCCCATGGACAACGTTCCTCCAGGTCTTCCTGTCCTTTACCATCGTCTGTATTGCCCTCAATCTTTCCCAGCATTAGACCCTTCTCCAGTGAGTCCTTCCTTCTCATTAGGTGGCCAAAGTATTTGAGTTTCATCTTTAGGATCTGGCCTTCTAAAGAGCAGTTGGGGTTGATCTCTTCTAGGACTGACCAGTTTGAATGCCTTGCAGTCCAAGGGACTCGCAGGAGTCTTCTCCAGCACCATAGTTCAAAGGCCTCAATTCTTTGATGCTCAGCCTTTCTTATGGTCCAACTTTCACAGCCATACATTGCAACAGCGTATGTTGGCAATTTGATCTCTAGTTCCTCTGCCTCTTCGAAATCCTGCCTGTACTTCTGGTAGTTCTCGATCCACATAGTGCTGGAGTCTAGCTTGTAGGATTTTAAGCATAACTTTACTAGCATGTGAAATGAGTGCAATGGTGCGATAGTTTGAACATTCTTTGGCCATTGCCTTTCTTTGGAATTGGAATGTAAACTGACCTTTTCCAATCCTGTGGCCACTGTTGAGTTTTCCAAATTTGCTGGCAAATTGAGTGTAGCACTTTTACTGCATCGTCTTTTAACATTTTGAATAGCTCAGCTGGAATACTGTCACCTCCACTAGCTTTGTTGTTGCTCAGATTTTCTAAGGCCCACTTCACTTCACATTCTAGGATGTCTGGTTCGAGGTCAGTGACCATCTCATTGTGGTTATCTGGAATGTTAAGCTCATTCTTGTATAGTTCTTCTGTGTAGTTTTGCCATCTCTTCTTAATCTCTTCTGCCTCTGTTAAATCTCTGCCATTCTGGTCCTTTATCATGCCCATCTTTGCAGGAAACGTTCCCTTCATATCTCCAATTTTCTTGTTGTTTTCTTCTATTTCTTTGCACTGTTCATTTAAAAAGGCATTCTTATCTCTTCTAGCTACTCTCTGGAATTCTGCATTCAATTGGGTGTATCTTTTTCTTTCTCCTTTGCCTTTCGCTTCCCTTCTTTCCTCAGCTATTTGCAAAGCTTCCTCGGACAGCCATTTTGCTTTCTTGCATTTCTTTTTCTTTGGGATGGTTTTAGTTGCTACCTCTTGTACAATGTTGCGAACTTCCATCCATAGTTCTTCAGGCACTCTGTCTATCAGATCTAATTCCTTAAATCTATTTGTCACCTCTACTGTATATTCATCAGGAATATGATTTAGTTCATACCTGAGTGGCCTAGTGCTTTTCCCTACTTTTTTCAATTTAAGCCTAAATTTTGCAACGAGAAGCTCATGATCTGAGCCACAGTCAGCTCCTGGTCTAGTTTTTACTGACTGTATAGAGCTTCTCCATCTTTGGCTGCAGAGCACATAGTCAATCTGATTTCTATGTTGACCGTCTGGTGATGTCCATGTGTAGAGCCGTCTCTTGGGTTGTTGGAAAAGAGTGTTTGTTATGACCATCGTATTCTCTTGACAAAATTCTATTAGCCTGTGCCCTGCTTCATTTTGTACTCCAAGGCCAAACTTGCCTGTTATTCCGGTTATCTTTTGGCTTCCTACCTTAGCATTCCAATCCCCCATGATGATAAGGACATCATTTTTTGGTGTTAATTCTATAAGGTGCTGTAGGGCTTCATAGAACCGGTCAATTTCATCCTCTTCAGCACCAGTGGTTGGGGCATAGATTTGGACTATTGTGATATTGAATGGTTTGCCTTGGATTCGAATTGAGATCATTCTGTCATTTTGGGGATTGTATCCCAGTATTGCTTTTCCTATTCTTTTATTGACTATGAAGGCTACTCCATTTCCTCTGAGGGATTCTTGCCCACAGTAGTATATCTGATGGTCATCTGAGTTAAATTCACCTATTCCTGTCCATTTTAGTTCACTGA